GTCATCCTTGGGGGGCCAGTGGCTGCGGCTCCGGTTAGGGAGCCCGGTGGCTGCCCGTTACGGAGGGGGTGGGTAGAAGAGGTTAATTCTGGGGAGCACAGCAAACCCCAGCTTAGGAGGAGCTGGGAGGGCACCAGCCTTTTCCCCAGGGGTTTGGCTTGTGACAGTTACCTGGAGCAGGAGAGAAGGCAAGAGAGATGCGAGCCGTACTGCTGAAGTCATTCCAAGTGTGTGGAAATTGCCATTGCTGCGGTGACATCTTGGGAAGATGCAGTACGGTTCTGGGCCTGTGTTCAGGAAGAAAATTAAAAGAATGGGGTACAGAAGGCATGCTAGAGAAGTCAGGGAAAGGGAGATCCTGTGTTGTGAAATGTCTGGAAGATACTGATTTTGTGGAGCCTGGTATGTGTGAAAAAGGCAGAGGGAGTTTGTAATTAAAGTCTGAACGTGGTGGGAGAAGGAGGAATAACAAGGAAAGGCCAGTCATGAACGTATTTTTTCCTCTTAAAACTGGAGGGCTCGTGTCAGTGCAGGCTCCAGCTGATCTGGGCCCAGCAAGGCTCCTGCCTGCCCGCTGCCTGGCTGGGACCCTGAGGAGCAGGCAGCTGCGTGGCCGGGCCATCGCTGTTCCTTCTTTGGAGCTCGTCTTCTTACCACGACTATAGTAGTTTATATTCACATCGTTTTTAGCTTCTTGTGGTCACATTGAGATAGGGGCAGGCAGGACAGCTACAGGCCCCGCTCTTGGATGTGTTGGGGGGGTTTGGCGTTTGGTTCTTGCCCCAGAGCGGCTGTGTTTTGGCAGTGGCCGCTAACGATTCCTGGCTGGTGGACTCTGCGATGTGCTGTGGTTATTCTGGGCTGCAGCGGGGGCGGCTGGGGAGGGACAGGCTCATCCAGATAGAGAGCTGTCTGGAAAATAAGAGAATAGATGCAGAGGGGCTTCTCCTGACTGCGCGGTAGCTCTGCGGCAGTGGATGGGAGACGTCGGTCGCTTGGGAGTGAGGGTGGATGTGGAGCATAAGCACCTGGGTATCGGGATGTTCCCTGGGGCTGCGGCAGCTGTGGGGTTTGATGGTGGTGATGCCTCAGCAGATCTAAATGGCTGCGGTCCTGCCTGGGGACGCACAGGGCACTGCTGGTCCGAGTTGTCTGTCATTAGCTCTTAAGCCAGCGTGACTAAATTCTGGGCGCTCGCAGGAAGCCCGGCTTCACACTTACCCTTTCTCTCTCCTCTTCCCCTCCATGCCTGGGTCCTGGCTGCTGCTGCTGGCTGCCGCCGTCCGTCCCAAGTGGTCAAACAGAGGATGCAGATGTACAACTCGCCTTACCAGCGTGTGACGGACTGTGTGCGGGCTGTGTGGCGCAACGAAGGGGCCGGAGCTTTCTACCGCAGCTACACCACCCAGCTCACCATGAACATCCCCTTCCAAGCCATTCACTTCATGACCTACGAGTTCTTGCAAGAGCAGCTCAACCCCCACAGACAGTACAACCCAGGCTCCCACGTGGTCTCCGGAGCCTGCGCAGGGGCTGTTGCTGCCGCTGCCACTACGCCTTTGGACGTTTGCAAAACGCTGCTCAACACCCAGGAGTCCCTGGCCTTGAGCTCCAACATCAGCGGACACATCACAGGCATGGCCAATGCCTTCAGGACGGTGTACCAAGTGGGCGGTGTGACCGCCTACTTCAGAGGGGTCCAGGCAAGAGTCATTTATCAGATGCCCTCAACGGCAATCGCCTGGTCTGTGTACGAGTTCTTCAAATACATCCTCACCAAGCGCCAGGAGGAGCGGCGGGCTGGGAAGTGAGCCAGAGCCGAACGCCGTTCCAGACCTGCTCCACCTCCCCTCCTGGTTTGTCTTCTGACCCCTCTCCCTTTCGGTTTGGTTTGTGTTGAAGAGAGGGGGCAGCAAAGCCCTTTGGGGCTTAGCGATGCCATTTCTTGCCTGTGGCTGCTGCAGCTCTGCTCAGCCTGCACGGCTTGCTCTCTCCCAGGGTGCTCTGAGATGTCCCGCTGGGAGCTGCAGCCCAGGTCATGTCCCCTGGCACTTCGGTGGAGCTGTGCTCCTGTCCTTCCCTTAACAAAAACCTCCTATCACGCAAAGCTGGCCCCTCCTCGGAGGGGAAGGGGAATGTCCTGCCCTGCCTCTGGCAGGGCCAAGCTGAGCTCGCAGTCACCAAGGAGGGGGCGGCAGCGCTGCCTGGGATGCTGGGGGCTTTGTCTGGCTTTTGGCTGAAGCGAAGTGTAAGCCTTGCCGTTGTCTCGTAGCACGCACACGTGATGCTGACTGCCCCAGTGGTGGGGGGAGAGGATGGCACTTGAGG